GTTCGGGAAAGCGGAAGTAGACCTCTTTGCTTCGCAGGAGTCGTCCCAATGCCCGTTTTGGTTCTCCCTGAGTCCTCCAGCTCCGTTGGGGATAGATGCATTCGCCCACCCTTGGCCAATGCAGAAACTCTATGCCTTCCCGCCCATCAAACTGATCCAGGCGGTTCTGGCCAGAGTGAGGGAGAGCGGAGTCTGCCTCCTTCTGGTAGTCCCGTTCTGGCCATCTCAGCCATAGTTTTCGGAGCTAATTCCTCTGCTGGAATCATCCCCCTGGAGGATTCCAGTCAGAGAGGACCTGCTTTCCCAACTTCAGGGCAGGATATGGCATCCTCGCCCAGACATGTGGAAACTGTACGTTTGGCCGATCAGAGGCCGTCGGCATTAGGTTTTGATCTCCCAACTGACATTCAGGAGACCATCGCAAGTGCTAGAGCCCCTTCTACAAGGAGGCTATATTCCTCCAAATGGATGTTTTTCGTGGCATGGTGCTTAGGACATGATAGGAACCCAGTTAACTGCCCTGTTGGCTCAGTACTGGAATTCCTGCAGGAGAAGTTTACCTCCGGAGCAGCTGCTACCACTCTCAGAGTTTACGTTGCTGCTATTGCGGCACATAGAGAATCAGACGAGATTCCCCTGGGTAAACTGAGGTTAGTTTCGGCCTTCATGCGTGGGGTTAGGCGCCTGAAACCGGTTCGCTCCCCTAGAGTTCCCTCGTGGGACCTATCTGTCGTCTTAGAGGGTTTGACGGAGGCCCCCTTCGAGCCCTTGGAGTCAGCTCCGGAACGGATTCTGACTCTTAAGATTTCTCTTTTGCTGGCTTTATCTTCTTTGAAGCGGATAGGGGACTTACAAGCTCTCTCTATTAGCGAGTCATGCTTGGACTTCGCTCCCGGCTTAGTCAAGGTTTCCTTGAGACCGAGGCCAGGGTGTGTTCCCAAGGTTCTCTCCACAGCGTTCCGCTCTCAGGTTGTTAACCTTAACGCTTTTCACCCTCCTCCTTTTTCTTCTGAGGAAGATTGCTCAACTTGCTCTGCCCAGTGCGTTCTTTGAAGTTACACTACCATTCAAAAGTTTGGGGTCGGTACGATTTTAAATACTTTTAAAAGAATTCTCTTCTGCTAACCATGTGTTACAGTTATGTCTGTCTTGTTTCTGTATTCCTGTGTTTCCCCCCGTCATTGTGATTTGGTTTAGTCCTGTGTTTAGTTTTCCCGCTCCTCGTTTGTGCTCAGTTCCTTCACCTGTGTCTAGTTAATTTTCCCCAGCTGTGTCTTGTTCCCATGATCCGTTCTCTGTGTATGTAACCCTGTGTTCTCCCTCACTCCTTGTCGGTTCTCGTTTATGTAACGTTGATGTTAGGTGTGTTATCCTCTGCCCGTCTGCCTGCCTGTATCCGTTTGTTGTTTTGCTTTATTAAGTAAAGTCTATTGTTTTTGGAAATCCTGATCTCCTCGTCTTCCTCTGCCTACACACCCCGTAACAGAAGAACCGACCTAGACAGAAAGTGACAAGATTGGTATTTTACTCACCCCTTCCAACTCCAACGAATCTAAGCTGATCTGTTTCCAAGACGGCCGGCACATCCAGGAGTATGTTGCTGAATTCCTGGAGCTCTCTGAAGGGGTAAGCTGGGCAGAAGAGGTCCAGAAGACCGTCTTTTGGTTTGGGTTAGATGATACCCTTCATCATCAAGCTCCAGCGGCGGTAATCCCAGGATCTTTTGCCCACTACCTGGATCATGTGCTATGGTTGAGTGGCTCACCCTTCACCGTAGTTGAGGTTGATGACATCGCCACTCAACCACCAACTCCAGCCATCTCCACCACGCCAACCATCATCCCAGAGTCTAGTCCCGCCGAGATAGTCACACCAGAGTCCTTAGTTCCTCTCCTCGTCCAGGTTCCAGAGGAGATGAACCTTATAGACTTTGACTCTGAGCCAGTGTTTCTCCCCGTCACGTCTGCCGAGCCTGAGCTCCCCTGCAGCCCTGCCGAGCCTGAGCTCCCCTGCAGCCCTGCCGAGCCTGAGCTCCCCTGCAGCCCTGCCGAGCCTGAGCCCGTCGCCTGCCCGCCAGAGCCTGAGCCCGTCGCCTGCCCGCCAGAGCCTTAGCCCGTCGCCTGCCCGCCAGAGCCTGAGCCCGTCGCCTGCCCGCCAGAGCCTGAGCCTGAGCCCGTCGCCTGCCCGCCAGAGCCTGAGCCCGTCGCCTGCCCGCCAGAGCCTGAGCTTCAAGCCAGCCCTACAGAGCCTTCTCTACGGGTCCCATCCAGCCCTCCCAAGCCTGACCTGATGCACGTCCCTGAGCCTGGCACTCTCCCCAAGAAAATTTGGGGGGGGGGGATATAGGCCACCTGATGGTGCGTCTCCGCCATGGCCCCCTGACCAGCTTGCTCCGCCCTGGCCACCGGAAGAGGCATCTCCACCCTGGCCACCTGAAGGGGCGTCTCCGCCATGGCCCCCTGACCAGCTTGCTCCGCCTTGGCCGCCCGAGGGGGTCTCTCCGCCTTGGCCGCCCGAGGGGGTCTCTCCGCCCTGGCCACCGGAAGAGGCGTCTCCACCCTGGCCACCTGAAGGGGCGTTTTCACCCTGGCTATCAGCACGGCCTGCTCCGCCCTGGAGGCTTCCTGTTCCGGGAAAGCCACGCCCTCGTCAGCCTCCAGGCGCCCACCCTCCCGCCCCTATTTGATGTTTATACGGCGTGGGGACACGCCTTTTCGAGGAGGGGCGTAATGTTACAGTTATGTCTGTCTTGTGTCTGTATTCCTGTGTTTCCCCCCGTCATTGTGATTTGGTTTAGTCCTGTGTTTAGTTTTCCCGCTCCTCGTTTGTGTTCAGTTCCTTCACCTGTGTCTAGTTAATTTGCCCCAGCTGTGTCTTGTTCCCATGATCCGTTCTCTGTGTATGTAACCCTGTGTTCTCCCTCACTCCTTGTCGGTTCTCGTTTATGTAACGTTGATGTTAGGTGTGTTATCCTCTGCCCGTCTGCCTGCCTGTATCCGTTTGTTGTTTTGCTTTTTTTAAGTAAAGTCTATTGTTTTTGGAAATCCTGATCTCCTCGTCTTCCTCTGCCTACACACCCCGTAACACCATGGCTGCGCTTATTTGATTAAAAATACAACAAAAATCAGTTATAGTATTAAATATTATTCCAGTGTAAATCAGCTGTTTTCTGTGTGAATATATAGTAAAGTGTAATTTATTCCTGTGATCAAAGCTGAATTTTCAGCATCACCAGTGTCAGTGTCTTCAGTGTCAAATGATCCTTCACAAATCAGTATAATATGAGGATTTGATGCTCAAGAAACATTTATTATTATTATCAATGTTGAAACAGTTGTTGGTCTGTCAGTTGTACAGTTTTTTTTTTTGTTTTTTTTGATTCTTTGATGAATAGGAAGTTCAAAAGAACAGCATTTGTTTGAAATAGAATCTTTTGTAACATTATAAATGTCTTTACTGTCCTTGATAAATAAAAGTATTGATTTCTTTCCTCCAAAAAATAAAAATAAAATTCTCACTGACCCCAAACTTTTGAACGGTAGTGTATATGTAGACCGCTCAGGCGGTTGGAGAAAATCTAACCAGCTTCTGGTTTGTTTTGGTGCTAGCCGCCACGGGCTTGCTGCATCAAAGCAGAGGATTTATCACTGGGTCACGGAAGATATCTCAATGGCTTACGAGGTGCGTGGTTTGCCTTCACCTCTTAGCATTAGAGCACATTCCACCAGAAGTGTGGCATCCTCTCAAGCTTTGTTTAGAGGAGCACTTTTGGAGGACATTTGTGTTGCGGCCGGCTGGTCCTCTCCGCACACTTTTGTAAGATTCTACAATTTGGATCTTGACATGACTCCGGGTTCCCAGGTTCTTTCTGTTTGAACCTTTCATGGTTATTGTTTTATTGGTACCAGTCATGGCAGCGCTCTTTGCTTGGCGAGTTTGGTATCCTGTTCCCACTGCGCTTTCCGCAGCGTTGAGTGAACCTATGAAAGAGAACGTCTCTGGTTACTTCCGTAACCTATGTTCTCTGAATAGGGAACGAGACGCTGCGTTAGCTGCCAAGCTTCTCGCGCTGCTGACAGTTTCTTTACTCTTTTCGGCAGAGAAATCTGAGGAGAGGATGGCGTGGCCCATACTTGATGATGCGACGTGGGCGCGTCGGGGCGGAGCCAGATTGCGTGAGCGCCATCAGCCAATGAATTGGCGTGATTCTATAGGGCTTCAGACAATCGGCACATTCAGAGAATATCCCACTGCGCTTTCCGCAGCGTCTCGTTCCCTATTCAGAGAACATAGGTTACGCAAGTAACCAGAGACGTTTTATGGGAAGCCAAACATACCGAAAGTGTTCAGTGTTGTGTTGGTGGACTTCTGAACTGGACTGGACAGGCTAAAGGCCCGGGGCCGGGTATATACATAATTTTTCGCGTTTCGCTCCGTCTCACGCACAGTCGACAGCGCGAGTCTGTCTCCTTTGGCCGTGAGGGCAGATAGACGCGTTCGGCGAGTGCGCACTATCTAGTGGTTTTTAAGCGCTCAAGTCACCAACTCCCCTTTCCAAGTTTTTTTGTTGTTGTTTTTTGTCCAATATAAATTCATAGATTTTATAATTATTAATAAATTCGACATTTAAATAGTTTCCAGGCAAAAGACACATGGAACACTATTAACAAGAAAACAACACTATTGTTTTTATTATTTATTTCTTTATTATGTCTTTATTTAGATTGTATAGGCATATTAACATACTTTTTAACAAAACCATTCTGCATTTTTATTTTACATTGATTCAGAAATACACTTATAATAATTCACTATTATTAAAAATCAATATTATTTAAATCAATTAAGAACATTAATAATTCCTCACTTATACTGTGCGTGTTTGTTTTTAGCAATGAAAGTAGAGATAACAAAGTATGTAGGCCGATATATATGACAAAACTTCAAGGCAACTAAAATGTGTTTAAAGAAGGCATTTTTAATTCATTTTATTTCTCCAGCTTCAGCACCAGATAATGTTGTAAGACATCAGAGCACTGTATAATGATAAAATTCTCAATAAAACACCATATTTTAGGATAAAATATTGCTCATTTTATTGCTCAGCAAGCAAACATCACATACTCCTTAGATTGGACGAATGACATCAATGACTGTGATTCGTCTTGGATCCCAAACACAGTCTTGCTCAAAACCACTTCGCACCATGCCACAGTGTGGAGGGCACCAGGCAGTGTCATACTCATTATCATGCCAGGTTTTCTGCAATGGATGACCTAGATAATCAATCTTTTTCACTTTACCAACATTGACCTTCACTCTCAGAACGCTTCTCTGATGCATAGGTAGATGCGCAGGGACATTAAAGGCCTTTTCTACATCTCGGCTGAGGTAAACTCCACGTCCAAGTGTGCCGTTAGACTGACAAAAGCCATATGCTTTGATTTTTTCTGCATCCTCCTTAGATGTGCCATAAAACATTGTGTAGTTTTTGCCTTCAACTGGATCAGCTGGAATAGTGTTTTGAAGGCTTGGTGGAATTACATCAATAACAGTGATTCGCTTCTGATCCCAAACACAGTCTTCCTCAAGACCGCTTGGCACCATGCCACATTTTGGAGGGCACCAGGCAGTGTCGTAGCCATTAACATGCCAGGTTTTCTGCATTGGATGACCTTTATGATCAATCTTCTTCACTTTCCCAACATCAACCTTCACTCTAATAACAACTCTCTCATGTGGCGTTTCAAGCGGGTATCTGCTGGCCTTGTTAAGATCTCGGCTGAGGTAGACGCCACGTCCCAGCATTCCATCTTGAGATGGCTGAAAGCCATCGACTTTGATCTGTTCTGCTGCTCTTTCAGTAGTCCCGTGATACATTCGGTATATTTTACCACTCACAGGCTCTGTATTGCTTTGGAGACACGGCACACCTGGATACAAGTCACTCTCTGTCCACATGTTTAAGCCTAAAGACAAAAAATAGCATAAAGACAAAAAATAACCAGTCAGTTTTCATGTTCAAGTCTGGATAGAAAACAGCAGAAAGAAGGAAGGAAAGTCATTAAGGAGGAATATGTTTGTTTTTTGTACATTTTGTATAATATTAGAACATTTATCTAAAGCATCACATTCATGATATATATTACCTTTGTGATGAAAAATTCAGTCTGAGCAGAGATCAACCGTCTTGGACACACCTTAAACCAATAAGCTGAAGAGGCGGAGGAAAAATGCAAGTGAGAACAATGTACAGTTTTTTTTTCTCTGATGACATAAACTTAATTTGACTATGCAAATGGTTTTATACTATGAAATGTCAGCACATACAGTCAATTTATGTATACACTTTCTAAGTGCCATGAGTAAATGAAAATTCACTGAATGTGCTTGTATTTGAGGCACAATTCATGTTTTGAAAATAAGTAAAATATCTCAGCCAGTATGGCATCCCTGTAAAGAACATTATCAGTCTTGAGACGATCCTTGGAGATGGGGTTCAAAGTACAGGTACAGATATGACTCAAGTGTGGACAGAACAGTCATGCAATGATTTATTAAAAGTCAAAATCAAAGTCCAATAAGACTGAGGCTAAACAATGCTGAGACAAGCAATGATGCAATTTAGCAGGCAAAAATCTTAATTCAGAAAATGGCAGAGAATAAACTGGGATATGAATAACAGGCATGAGAAAAACACAGGAAAGAAATGGGCAAAGAACTGCATAATTATACTGTGCTATTGACTAAAAGCATTTTTTATTTCACTAATACTAGAAGACATTTTAGATAACATTAGTATTGGCTACAGTATAAAATCATTTAACTGGTTATTCTGGGATTTTTTAGGCTTCATAATGACCAATAAACCCAGACAACGTGCCTTACCAGATGTCGCTTCTAAGGCTGATCGTTTGTTCTGAAAGCAGGCATGGCATATCTTTCAGGGTGTGTCCATTACGGGAAATGCTCCACTGAGTTTCAGTTTCTTTTCTTTGTAAACTATTGGATTGCAACAACACTTGTAAATTTGTAAAGCGTCGTGCTGTAAATTTGATTGATTATATGATTTTATGTTTACAATATTAAAAGATATAAAATTATGAAAGAGATTGTAAGACTATTTGGTAAAACCGTGTTCCCTTTTTCTTTTCTTTTTTTCCAACATCCAAAATCCAAGAGACTCTCATACAATATATTGATAAATTTAAAGCATGATGTAACCTTTGTCAAACTTCAATGAAAACAAGCAGGAACTGCACTGATCTCAGTTTTACCTTAACTTTATAAAATACTTAATAAATTACTGGACTGCTTATACTAGCCCCCCAATGGTAGAAGTCAAAGCTTAATGGGCCGATGCTTCTATATGGACTGCTGAATGATTTGAAATTTCTAATTAATTAATTTCACGTAGGCCTATATATTTCATATTTATATATGATATCGCTATTGATTTATTTTAGATTACATGTTTTATTACTATTGCAATAAAAATAAGAACTCTCTATTTTACCCCATTTTCCTCATTTAAGCTTCATTTCTGATTTACAGGACTGGAAACCCTACACATTTAATCAGTTTAATGAACAATAAATATAACTCATGATATGTTTTTAACACATGAAACTATTTATTTAGCTTATAAGTTAAACAAGAAAATATATGTGATCAATTTCATGACATGTTACAAACTCGCTTCAGGCCAGTAAATGCAATATTTTTTGGTCGATGTGTGTATTTTGTGAGTTTCTGTGTAGGCTATTTCTGCAATAAAAAAAAAGTATTTAAATTTATTTATTTTAAAACACATGCAGATAATAAACTTTCATTATGATGAAGAACTGCAATGTCACGTGAGTGTGACCGATAGATATGATAATCATAATAACCAAACAGATGTTTTGCTAGTCTTTAGCAGAGTATCCGAGGCATGAGCTGTAAAGGCTCCGCCCTTTTCTGAAAAGCGTGGTGGCGAGCAGCAGCTTATTTGCATTTAAAGATACATGCGTGAAAAGAGCATGTTTTTGCTTACACTCAAAAATGATGAATTTACAACATGCTATAATAAACTAAGAAACTTCACAGACACCTCAAACTTATATTAGGTCTTGTAAAAAGGGGCATAATAGGTCCCATTTCAATAACAACCTTGATTTGCCTTGATTTGAACACGGGCATGTAAGTGCAATGTGCAAAACAAGTTGCAATTATCAATGCAGTGCATGATTCATTTGACATGAAATCGTTTATTTTTAAAACTCATGAAAAACGTAGCAGTACATTTGCAATTTTTACCTGTTGTATGTTGTTGTTGTTTTTTCTTCCTTTTTAACAATAACAACCACATTACACCTTTGGGTAAATTACATCAATGATCTGAATCTGACATGGATCCCAAACACAGTCTTCTTCAAGACCACTTCGCACCATGCCACATTTTGGAGGGCACCAGGCAGTGTCGTACCCATTATCATGCCAGGTTTTCTGCATTGGATGACCTTGACGATCAATCTTCTTCACTTTCCCAACATTGACCTTCACTCTAATAACAGCCCTTTCATGTTCAGACAAATGAAGCGGGTATCTGCTGGCCTTGTTAAGATCTCGGCTGAGGTAGACGCCACGTCCCAGCATTCCATCTTGAGATGGCTGAAAGCCCCGACTCATGATCTGCTTTGCAGCATCTCGAGAGGTCCCGTGATACATTCGGTATATTTTACCACTCACAGGCTCAGAGTAGCTTTCGAGACACGGCACACCTGGATACAAGTCATTCTCTTCCCACATGTTTAAATCTGGAGAAACCAAACAAAATAGTTTATCATGCTGTTCTATAAAGAGGTGCTGGTGAACGTTTTAATTTTGAGGTTGTTGTTTAATTTTGAAATCAGAGATAGCTTTTGCTGTAAAGTTTAAAGAAATAGGATGCTTACCTCTTGGATGACAAATTCAGACTGTGCACAAAGCTGCAAGAGGTGAGGAATATCTTGAAGCCACACCTTCAACAAGTTGGAAACCCCCAAACTAAGTTTCGTTTCTTTCGGAAAAAAGTTATAATCGGAAACAGCTGCCAGAGAGCAGCAGGATGTGTTCACCTTAAGTCAAAATCTTGTTTTGAATTTCACAATTCACAATTTCTTTGTGCCCCTTATTGTCATCGTCTTACTGACGTCTTTAAAATCACTTTCACATTATTTTGTACAGTTAACTATAATGGCTTTACAGTCATAAGATAACAGCTGCTCTTAAATAAAATATTTTAATTCACAATTCAGAAATTCAGGGCTCGAAGGGGATGGATTCTGGAATCCACTGCCCCTTCAATGTATATCTAATGAGTGATTATAATCAAGGTATTAATCAATAATTTTCCTTTTACATATTAATTGATGTGACTGACTTCTTTAAGCTTATGAGATTTATGTAGTTATATAACTATATGCCTCTTTAATGGAATGTGCTCTCTCAATGTTTTTGAGAGAGGGACCCAACATGTGTTAACATAGCTAACCAAGACAGCCAAGGTCACTGGTGTGGGAAAGTTTCCTGTTTGGAACAGAGCTCAAATAACTCCAACCTTGAAGAATCTGTGTATCTGTGTATGTGCGCTATATTCTTTGTTACAGACTTGTTTTCTTCAACATGCTGGCGCAAAGACACACGTCTCGTGACCTCGGAGGACCACTCGCAAGGTCCTGGTGTCAGCCGTACAGACTATGGAGATGTGCTACTGCCTATCAGTCCATGTGTGGAAATTTCCGATGTTTATCTATTTCTTAGCCAATCAGAATCCTTTAACCTGAAGTAATGACGTAGTGTAAAGGCATTATTGCTGTGATTTTTGTGAATGTAAAGCAGGACGGCCTACAAACTCCTTGTGAGTCTTGAAGCTGACTTCTGCCTGATCAAACTGCAAACTATCTTCAGTAAAAATTGTCTTCAATTTATTATTATTTTGACTCTTGTCTTCAATTGACTGCACTTCTAACTCCTGGTCTTCATTCATCATATCTGGTCCTTGTGCCTTAAAGGGTCAGTCCACCCATTTCAACATTAATCTTTATTGAAAGTGGGTTATATATGTAGTCGAAATGTAAAAGAAATTTTGAATTTGGTGCCCTCTTGACCGAGAAAAGACACAAAATAACTTTAGGGCACATTTGTATGTAAGACAACAACTCCCACAATGCACCACATTGCACAGCTCCGCAAGCCACTCCCACTAATCCAGAACAGCGCAAACAGAGAAATCACTCTCTGTTTGAAAATCCGAAACTAAATCCGTCTACAAGGCTAGCTGCCAAAAGAGTTTTTAAATTCATTTCACACAAAATGTCTAGTTAGTTGGCTGTGGCGAGCAGGACGAGGGCGAGGGACGTGAGAGGACGGCGCGAGTGATAATGAATGACACCTGTGAGACGCAGCGGTCTCATATCTCTCACGGAGGAGCGGAAGCACAAAAGGAACAGGCCTGATTTTATGTTTTGTTTCTGTTGTGTGTGGCCAGCTGGCTTATACTTTTGTTTTGTATTTGTTTATTTTACTATTAAAATGTTTAAATGTGCGCCGGTTCCCGCCTCCCTCTTCCCACAACAACGAACCCCGTTACATTGGCAAACTCATTAGCGAATTACTCCTCGTTTGTATTTCTTTCTATATGGTGAATTATTGCATGATACCTGGATGTTCCGTCAGAACATATGCGTTGCGACACTAGGATGGTTCACATCACAACACAAACATCCGTGTGCTCGTCTGATTCAGAGATTTCGTCCAGGAGAAATTGCTATCGTTGAAATTCTCTGCAGCAGACGGACTCTATCTGTGTCCGTAGCGCACAGCGAGAGCACACGCACCAGCAGTCCGCCCAGCTCGACCCAGTCCGGGCTCCTCGTCCACGACAGGCGGCCGCCTCCTGTTCCTCCATCAGCCTCAGCTGCTCTTCACTATATTGCGGCTCGTAAAGATAGCCACGAACAGCGGATTCGAGCAGCAGAATTTCAAAATCCTCTACTTCCATATCATGTTTAGTTTCTTCCGTCATTGTCGTAACTTCCAATATCCACAGCGCTTGTTTGTTAGCTTAGCTTATAAACAAGATGGCTGATATTGATTTCAGTATCTACAAGTGAAGTCCCACCCACTGATCTGTGATAGCTCTGTTAGCGCATTAGGTCTAACCCACTATGGGCGGGTTTGAAAGGGTGGGAACTAGTGCTTGTAGTCTTTACAGAAATCCCCCCCTCTTACACTTCCTCCTACAATGACGTAAAATGACGATTTTTGCGTCATTGTAGGAGGAAGTGAAAAAGGTAAATAGCAGATTTCTCTCGTCTCAGGGGAAAATGAGAGTGTTGCACGACCATTCAATAGTATGACTGGGTTTCTAACAATGGAAAGCTTAATGCAAATGGGTGGAGTGACCCTTTAAACTGTAAATTTAAAAGTTTAAAGATAGAAAAATAAATAAGTGTATCAGAATGTTTGTCTTGCCAATGACAATGCAGATCAGAGGAATGTGACTTATTTTGTGAAGACATTTCCTGGAAAATATCCTCTGAGGTCTGCATGAGAACATAGAGGCACATGCATCTTATTATATGTGCCAAGCTGTAACCTTGCTTTTGTTGTTGCTAAGCAACCATTGGAAAGGTCCAACAGAGGTTATAACCAAATATTCTTCACAACACATTTTAAGCATGAATTATCTTCCTATTCACTTATTTTGTTGATGTCTGGAACTAGTCTGGAACTAGTCCAATCATTTAAGAACAAGTCACACACATCTAAAAAGCTTTAAAGTTGTATTATCTCCCTCTCTCTTGTTTTTTCTGCACTTTCACAACCAAATAATTACATGTATTATTAACCTATAGGTATAGCCTAATTGTCTGCTGATTTTTAATGCACAAATTAACACAATAAATGCACAGGTGACAATGTCACTTGGCAGAACACCAAGTACCATTTTTTTTTATTTTGCAACAAAGAATTCAACATTTACTACATGCAAAAAATATTTAAAAGAGGGTAATACATGGAATTATAAAATGAACTAAAGCATATTATAGTTGTCTATATTGTTTTATAAGTATTACACAATTATAGTAACTTTAACAACAACTTTGCTGGCCAGAAGGAATTTTTTTTTTGTCGAAGAAGCCAGACTATGTCACTGAATTTATTATTCCAAAAACTTGTATTTTGCGTTGTGATTTTTGTCCCTTAGCAGCGTCCGTTCAGTGACGTAATACATAAACAAGATGGCTACGTCCACTGGCATTAGCAAAGGTGCTGCGTTCAGTAAGGCAGATTACCTTAAACGATATTTATCAAATGATGAAGCTGGCAAGAAGTCTAAAGAAAAGAAGATTAAGAAGAAACGGCCGAAACCCACGGGGAAAGGGTAAATATGATCGGACAAACTTAACAGAAGTGCAGATTTTAGCTCTCGGTATCAGTAATCACAACATAATGACATTGTGGCTTAGTCTCAAATGCTTACAGAGTTGGCTAAATACACAGCAATTAGAAAATAGTTTGTCAAGTGCTCAAGCAGCTAAATTGTCATTATAAACTACAGGATGAAAATTGTTGACGATGACATTGATTGGAGGCAACTTGCTCTTAACGAAGAAGAAAATAAAGACGAAGACGAGGATGATGAGGCGCCTGTGGTGTGTAGAAGCACGCTTTACCTATTTGAAGCTTTTGTAACACTTTCATAGCCAACATAAATACTATATTGTAGTCTGGTCTTTAGTGATCACTATTAGAAAAGTACCATGGTACTACCTTGGTTTTTGAACATGCATGAATTTGCAAGAGTGTTAAATGTCTTTTTTAGATTGCAGACGTGATAGATGAACGCCCAGATGAGATTAAGCAGCTCGAGGTATTTCGAACCAGCAAGTGGAAAGTGTTGGGCGGTAAGACTTTGACTTCTTGTGCTTGTGTTGGATTCATATGTCTGAGAAAACAACTGGGATTTTTTTTTAAATTCTGGAAATAAACAGAACGGCTGTTGAAAAACTCAATTTGTTATGCTCACCATCAGATTAAAGTGGAACAGACATGTATTATGAATTATTAAATATTGTAAAAACAGAAGCATGTTTACTAGTTAGGTGTTTTTATACACTACCGTTCAAAAGTTTGGGGACTATAAGATTTTTAAAATGTTTTTGAAAAAAGTCTTTGATAGAAGAAAGGGGTGTGCCACTTAACTTTTGTGGAAACCATGATATTTCTTTTCTGGATTCTTTTATGAATAGAAAGTTCAAAAGAATAGCATTTATTTGAAACGGAAAACTTTTGTTAAAAAAAAATCTTTACTGTCACTTTTGATAAGATGAATGTGTCTTTGCTGAATAAAAGTATTAATTTATTTACAACAAAAAAAAAATCTTACTGACCCTAAACTTTGGAACGGTAGTGTCTGAATGTATATAGATAAATGTTACAAAACCATATACATATACACACACTCACTCTAATTCGTGTCTTAGCAACAGAGCAAGATCTCCAAGAAACTCAGGAGTCCACATTAGATAGCAGGTAACTGTCCTTTCTTCTTTTGTTCTTATTCTTATTAAAATCATTGCTGCATAGAGAGTATAATGAATGTTGCTTTGTTTAGTTTGGACACTGACAGAGTGCGTCATGACTCACCGGAGAGTTCAACTGTACCGAGGGGGCGGCATGATTCCCCTGACCTCTCGCCCAAGAGGCTTCGGCACGACTCGCCGAATCTGTCACCTCTGAGAAGAGGCCGTCATGATTCGCCAGACCTTTCACCTAAGAGACACATAACCGAGAACAAAAACAGATGGCACGACTCCTCGTCACCTTCACCTCCAAGAAAGAGCCTCAAAAGCTCACCCTCCAGAACCCAAAAGCAGCATGATAAAGGTATGAAAATCCATCCACCAATCAGAAACAACATTTAGACAATGAATGTCATCAAAATAATTTAGCTTTTATTAATCTCTTCAGGGTCCCCACACAGAAAAAAGACAAGTGCTGCTTCTTCAGGTGACCTTTCGCCGCCCAGAAGACGAGCCCAGACAGGCAGAGGCTCAGACTCCGATCAGTCCCCACCTCGCAGACGTCCTCGTGGGCGACGGGGTTCAGATTCCGATCAATCTCCACCCAGAAAGAGAGGCCAGGGTGGAAGAGGTTCAGATTCAGATCTCTCTCCTCCCAGGAAGAAGCCACAGGGAGGACGTGGATCGGACTCAGACCTGTCTCCACCACGGAGGACACACTCTCCTGATGCAGTAAGTTCAGGGTTCATGTTTAAGGGCCCTTTATACTAGTGCAGGGGTGCAAAACTCAGTTCCTGGAGGGCCACAGCCTTATAGAGTTTGGTTCCAACCCTGCTCCAGCACACATACCTGTTGTTTTCAAATACGCCTGAAGGACTTGATTAGCTGGATCAGGTGCATTTAATTAAATTTTAGTTGAAGCTAAACTCTCCAGGAAGGAGTAAAGTGTAAACTCCATAAAGACGTTTCGCACCCGTGTATTAAAAGTTCTCAACAGTAGGGGGCACTAACCTACTTTAAAGGAGGTACAGGATGATTTAAAATTAATTAAATTATTTATTGATTTTCATGTAAATTTTGTTTTTATTTAACTGAATTAAAATGCTAAAAATGTAAAGGGGAAAAGTTCTTACAGTTCTTGTAACTTCTGGAATTACAGAATTAATTGTGGTTGATAGATTAATCACTAAAATAGTTTGAAAGCAAGCAGTTTTCCATAATTACAGCAAAAAAAAGTTTCTCCTATATGATGGGCCTTTTTAACACCTTTAAATAATGCTGATTACGCAGCAAGTAATGTATGAAATAAATATGACCCTTTTCATAATTTAAAACATTAAATTATTTAATTGTTTCCTCTGAGATCCTGTTATAACGTAAGTACTTAACTTTTTCACGGCCATTTTTCACTAGCTCTGACCTTTTAAAATAAATGTTTTTCCGTTTGCTGTGCCTATAAGAAACCCCCTTTGTGGATTAAATAAGCAGCAGCGTTCATGAAATAAAAGAACTTTTCAGTGGATCACGCATGAAATATACACAATTTTTCTTCTTCTTTTGGATTGAAGATGCAGTTTGGATCCTTATGTTGAGAATTTCACTGTTCTTCCTTACAGGCCCCTCGAATGCTATCTGGTGGAGCTGCAGGGCTCGTGTCTGTTGACATTTTGAGAAAAGAACAGGAAGAAATTCGCAGAAAGGAAAAACGCAACAAGCCTCTTGAAGGTTTAATGAAAATCCATTGATAATGTTGTGTAATAGAAAGTGTTGTTTTATTTTATAACATTCATTGTCACATTGCTCTCTCAGAGGCATCCAGAAATGCAGAGACGATATTTCGAGACAAGTCGGGTAGGAAACGTGACCTGGAGTCGGAGAGAGTCGAGCTTAGCAAGAAAGCTGGAGAAAAGGCAGAGAAGGATGAAAAATATGCGCAATGGGGAAAAGGGTGAGGTCTATTTAGTGGTGTTCAAATGCAGCTATTTTTTCGGTCTTGTGACTGACATCTGTGCTGTCCTTTTTCAGGCTTGCTCAGGGTGAAATGCAGCAGCAGAACTTAACCGATGCCATGCGGGAGGCTCAGAAACCACTAGCAAGACACATTGACGATGAAGACCTCGATCGGATGCTGAGGGAGCAAGAAAGGGACGGAGACCCGATGGCGGCTATGCTTCGCAAGAAGAAGGTCAAAAATGCTCAATTAAAAGGAATCAAAGGTGAAAATTAGGAATAATGTCCAAATTGGTGCTAGTGATCTTTGTAGGTAATGATTGGGATTTACTTTTTTTTTTTTTTTTTTTTTTTTTTTAATCATTTTTCTAACCTGCAAAGATTTATCTGAAAACAAGCCCAGATCACAGTAGTAATTGTAGTAATTTACATGTGAATGTTTTTCACCAGAAAAACCTCGTTACAAAGGTCCGCCCCCACCTCCGAATCGTTTTAACCTTATTCCAGGGTATCGCTGGGATGGAGTTGACAGGTAAGAGGTTTAGATTGATGAATATCAGCTGGTTTGTAAGTATCTTAATGTTAACCTAAGAAAATGGTTTAATTTACTTTTCCTATGATCCTTTAGGTCCAACGGTTTTGAGCAGAAGCGGTACTGTAGGATTTCAGATAAGAAAGCCGTCCAGGAGATGGCGTACAAGTGGAGTGTGGAAGACATGTAGATGTCGATGGAGATCCAAATGTGTGGAGAGATTCATGATGTAAAAACTGACTTGTCTAGAATTAGGACAGTTCCCTCACGAACCAAAACCTTTGATCAAAAAGCAAGGCATTTTGTGTGCAGTTATCAGTCCTATTATGTACAAGAAAAATACTTTCCTAATTAAATGCTACTTTTTTAATAAAACTGTTTTGCGTTGAACTTTATCAATGTCATTTCAAACCCCAAATTTTTAATTAACAGAACAAATTTAGAGACCGACTAGATGATGCCGGCCACATTAATAATTATACCCCAAACATTTGAATATATAAATCAAAAACACAAAATGAAGTCTAAAGTCATGAAAGCTAGGCTGAATACAAATGCATGATTTAAAGTGATTTAAAGCACTATAAGGATTCTCTCTGGCCTTCATCTGTTCTTTTTACTCGGGCAGGGGCTGGGCGGGCGTGCACAGAAACATCCCAGCCTGGGAAAGCCTCTTGCTGCACTGTTCTGTATTCGGCTCTATAGAAAAGAGATTTAATTTAAAAAATTAGATTTGAATTAAAAAAGAATATAAGTTCAGTGGTTGTATACTTGCCTCATTGAAGTGTTGATCGCCAGGTTGTCAGGATGAGGTACGACCTGATTTCTCCTAACATAGATTCTCTTTGGGACCGGGAAGTCCTGCTGGTAAAGAGAACATCTCTGTGCTTGGCCAGCCCTGTTGTCTCTTGCTGGGACTCTTCCCTGCCACGCAATTGGAGCACCATCTAGGTTATAAGAAGGGTAATCCTCCCTGTTTGTTGTGCTGAAGCTCCTGTCCCCTGCAATTATGTAGATATAATAATGTTTGGCTCATAGAGCTTCAAAATAGGTGTTCCAATTTGCCTGAAATGAATTCACCCTAAGTTTACAATAGGTGGTTTATGGATTATATCTTTTCTAATCGATACTAATTAAATATCTTTCAGAATTTCAATGAGTATGCAACACAGGGTCTTGAAATATTTTAAAATGTACCGTACATTTATGTCTATATTGTCACACAATCCTTCAGAAATCATTCTAATAATGCTGATTTGCTGCTCAAGAAACATTTTTTATTATCAGTGTTGAAAGAAGTCGTCACATTTTTATTGTGGAAACGGTGATAATTCTTTTTCAGGAATTTTGTTTAATAGAAAGGTCAAAAGAACAGAGGTGTAAAATTAGCAATATGTAAATAAATATTGCATCCTTGAATAAAATTATTCGTTTTTTATCTCTCCCAAACTTTTGAATGGTGTTTATAAATATTTCTCTTTAGTATCTTTATGTCATTGCCATGTCATTTAATAACATACTGAAGTTCAGTGAAATAAGTCAAGAAACTATGCAAACCAATTTTTGGCTTATATCTCCATAAATAGCTTGGTTACGTTTACAATAGATGGTTTGTTGCTTCTCTAATAGGTACTTAACTGATCATGTTTCCAAATTTATATGATTTTCATACCGTCTAGAGTTAGGTTGCACTGTAGGATCTTCTTTGGCTCTACCTTTGGGCATGTTTTGGGTCCAAATTCTCTTTCTGTTGTGGTAACCATCTTTTCCCGCTTATCAGGGTAGAGCAACAAGCCTGAAAAGAAGATCTGACAGCATTTGTTTTCTTCTAAGTGGCACTCACTTGTGTAAACATGCTTTAGTTGTCTAGTATGTGAATGACATGTGCCATTTCCGGAATTCTAAAAAAAAATTAAAAGTAAAAATGTATTGTTCCACGTCTTACCTGCTAATGAAGGAAGTTCTCCCAGCATTGGAAAGGCTTGTGGGTGTTTCGACACCATTTGACCATTTTTGAGAAGCAATAAATCTGTTCTACGCCGACTACCAAATGGGATTCTGAGAGCTGGTCTCTGCTGTTTGCTGATTGTCTTTTCATGAGTGGTCATCTTTGAGTTACTATTGAGTGAATTGTCAATGTATATAAAAATGTTATACATTGTTGTTGTTTTAAATGAATGAAGCAGATTTTAATGATTAAACTTTCATATATTTTAATCCTGCTTTAAATTCTCAGAGACTTGCTAATAAGAAACTTGTCTACAGATCTACACCCAGTTTTGAAAACATTACTCTATCTCTCTCTCTCTCTCTCTCTCTCTCTCTATATATATATATATATATATATATTAGTAATTGGCTGATTTCAATGCCTTTTGAAGAGTTTAAAATGATTTAACCTTGTTCTCTTACAATTAAAAGTAGTGATTTGAAACTCACCTCATGCATGACACATTTTCTTTGCATAAATTTGATTCCTGAGCAGTTTAGCTTCTGATTTTTGTCACATTCTTGCAGCACAGTGGCATGTTTGGAAAGCGCTGTTACACTCAGTTAGTGGCTGTTTCCATGGCTGCTCTATTCTTTAGAAAGCCTGAAGGGTGATGGACTTCAGCTCAAGAACAATGAGTGTTCTGTAATAAATACCGTAGACTGACGTGACGCTGTGCTTGTGCTCAGCATGAGACTTAGTTTAAATAAACCTGAATAAAACCTGTTGGTTTCAGTGTCTTCATATTTATGCTTAAAAACTGCTCAATTTCTTAATACATGATTCCCTTATGTTTTTGTTTGACTTGATTATTCTTTTTCTTTTTCTGTATCATTGATAAATAACCATGAACTAAGATTCCTTAGAACGTTCTGAGAAGTCAAAATCGTTAGCTGGGTATAGTTAAATTCATATATATATGCATTGATATACAAAAGATAGATTTTTTAAACGGTTTTTAAAGCAGTTACTTGTGCTCACCAAGGCTGCATTTATTTGATAAAAAATACAGTACAAACAGTAATATTATGGAATATTGTTACAATTTAAAATAAATGTTTTCTATTTTAATATATTAAAAATAATAATAATAATGTGTGTTGGCTAAGCTGAATCATTACTCCAGTCTTCAGTGTCACATGATCCTGCAGAAATGATATTAGGCTAATAATAACATTTCTTATTATTATCATATTAAAACCAGTTTTACGTGTTGTTACACATGATACTTTTTTCAGGATTCTTCTGTGAATAAAAAGCTCAAAAGAACATATTTTTTCAAATAGATTTTTTTGTAACATTATAAATGTCTTTACTTTTTGGGATATATGTTATGCTTCCATGCTAGAAGTATTCATTTCTCTCAAAAAAAATCTTACTGACCCCAAACTTCTTTCTTCTTTCTACATTTATTTTTATTTTCCTGCCCTCTAAATTATAGTATTAATTAGTTATGACAACATATGTTTTTACATTGCTTTAACACATGTTTTTTTACAAGTTACAAGATTTAACTCATTTTTCAGTTTAGTTTAAGTTGATAAGACTTAAACATCCAAGTTGATTTTACTTAAAAATGTAAGGCAGCAACTTTTTTTACAGTGTAATTTGTTCTGCCAATTAATAATGAACGTAAATAAATTTGCAGTGAAATAAGTCAGGAAACAACAATATGGTTTATAGCTTTAATCATTGGATATTCCCAAGCAATGGTTGCAAATTATGATTTGAGGAAGAGTAAATACAAGAGTGGCTGTTCAATCTGGAAAGAGCAAGAAGCCCGTAAAGGTGCAGTCAGTGTCTCTACTGAAGATAGAGCTTACTTCAGTGGCCTGTATAGACACTTTATCATCCATTTTCAATGGCAGTAGCACAGATCCTGCAGTTACCATTATAATACCAGGTGAATCACAGAACCTGACTTTCTCTTCCTCCCCTACCTGAATCTTTAGGCAGGCAGACGAGCTAGACGAAATGTGGTAGCTAATGTAATACATGCCAGCTATTTTCACCGTGAAGAAACCCTCACTATCCAAAACATCCTCTTCCCCGGAGATCAGAGCGATGTCAAAGATGATTAAGCCGTCCTTAAGAACTCTCTGTGCCCTAGGACTTTTTTTGTAAGAGAAAACAAAATGCTGGTTTGGAGCATCTACCCCTGTAAAAACTCCCCTCTCTCCCTTCGTTCCATTTCCCCCTGGTGAACCTTGTAGTCCCTCGTCCCCTTTCTGACCAGGCCTGCCAGGGAATCCATGAATTCCAGGGTCCCCTTTTGGCCCAAACATCGGCACTGCATCGTCACCTGCAAACATGCACACAGCCAGGTAGTGTAAGTTTAAATGCAGACTTTTTATTTCATTTATTGGATTTTTAGCAGTTATTTAGGACAGTCAAGGAAGAGAGAGGGCACATTTGTGACTTTCAATAAGCAGTATTTCCACATAGAAAATAAGCGCTTCACCTTGATCTCCTTTTTCTCCTTTGGGGCCATCCTTCCCATCGGCACCAGGAACTCCTGGAATACCTGGTCTTCCAGGAAAACCCCTGTTCCCATCACATGTATCTGACTCAGAGGAAGCCACCAGCAACAACATAATAGTAAGTTGCGGCACTGCATGTGCAGACATGAAGATAAACGCCTGTTTTAAAACAACAAAAACCCCTAAATGAACAGCATAGTATAAAAAGGAAAATTGTTCCCAAACTGAAACGTATAATACAGTGACTGCTGAAACAAGCAGGTACAATTTCAATAATCAAATGCTGCATTACAGTAAGACTTTTTGCAAATAAAAGCAAATCACATATTTATTACAATACACGGTTCATAACAAGGAAGACTTTTTTCTTACCATCTTATCTTTCAAAACAATTGTTGGAAATACAGACAATGGCCTTAAAGAAGAGTGTTACACTGAATGTTTTTCTCCTGTCTGTACTGTATGTATGAAGAGCTCTGGTTTGATTTCCCAGTTTCAGAGGAGAAGATCAGTGTTGCACAATAAAGGGAAGTAACAAAACACATGTTCATCAGAATCTAGATTTATAAACCTTGGATGACTTTTTTTGTCCATTATTGACATTTAATTTTGCCAATGTTTGCAAGTTCCATATCCCTTTTCTGAGAAATTGAAAAAGGAAGCAGAGAAATTAAAAAGTTTATGACAGATCAAACCATTCTGGGTGCTATTGATATTGATATTTATGTTGATATTGATGTTGATATCAATATCAACATCAACTGTTTTCAACATTAATAAGAAATGTTAGACTATCAAAATTGTTTTTTGAAGGATCATGTGACACTGAAGACTGGGTGGCTGCAGAAAATTAAACTTTGTCATCACAGGAATAAATAACATTTTACAATATATATTAAAAAAACAGTTATTTTAATTTGTTAAAATATTTATCAATACAACTGTTTACTGTATTTATATTCAAATAAATGCAGCCTTTATGAGCATTATGTATAGCCTTTATGACCTTTACGTATCACATTAGTTATATATTATGATAGATTATATGTAGCTTACATAACGCAGAGCATGTGCATTGTTGTCATTCAGATAATGTTTAGAATAGTTTGCTAAAATGACTTATGAACAATCGTTAACAATTCATATTGTCAGGATTTGCGAAATCTTCTTGGATAGGGCGTGTCAAATCCAATCAAACATTTGGTATGATTAAACCTGAGACAAACAATTTACTGAAGCATAATTTTATTTGATTTGATCAGCAGATTTCAAAACGAAACAGTGTGCATTTTTCTTATGAGCAAAACATACAGCGTGTTTAACAAGCATGTCTTCATGTTCAGCTTTATAGTTCAAAACAGTGCAACAATCAATCAGTGTGCATGAATCAGGAAACCCGAGAAAACACTGTCGCCTTTCCTCCCTTCTGCAAACAGGCCATTATAGCTGTTTGTCACCAGCCAGACTTTCTCATTCTCTTGCAGATAAACAGCTAGTCCACCAGAGCTCACCTGCTGGCTGTTCTTTTGCATGTGATCACAGAAACTACCTAGCTTCTTATCATCATGCATTAGGATTACACACAGACTTCTTTCTTTGGACGATGCATGAAACACAAAATAATAAGTGCCAGGAATTTTACACACAAATTTGCTCTCTTCAACACTGAAATGGCCATTGACATTGGTGATAATAGTACTGAAGCGTATCACAGCATTGGGATCAGGAAACGTTCGTGTGGCACGGGACACACTGAATGCAGACTGCAGGGGAGATCTGGAACCTTCTGAATTGCCTGGGTCCCCTGGCTCTCCTGGGGGGCCGAGTGGTCCCATTATGCCGGAATCCCCCTTAAGACCTCTTTTTCCAACCCTTCCTTTGATTCCAGGCTCCCCTTTTTCTCCTTTTTTTATGGTTTCGTCAGGTTTGAGAGGAATCCCTGTTAAGACACACACCGGTTGTTTTAACATCATATTAGAGGTACAATATACCCTATCTCTTAAAGACACCTGTTGACATTTTGAACCCTTTTAGGATATATAATTTAGTTCTTTTTATGAATTTTTGTTTTTGTGTCCACTCAAACACCAAAATATTCCCTCAATGTTGGTCATTGCAAGTTTTACTGTTAACGTGGGGATATTGCTCTAAGCAAAACTTACATGTAAACACATTCAACACTTTCTTAATCTCAGATCAAATATTTTGAAACTGTTTTGGTAAGAATTAACCTATTTGATCTGAGCTTTGTTGAAAATAAAATGGTTATTATACATCACAAAAAAATGCTGTACACAGACTATTCAGTCTTTTTTTGAGGTAGCATAAATGCAATCCAATACATGGCCTTAGGCTATATACTTAATATTAAACAATATTAAACATGGTGGTAACCACTTTCATTCATATTTTTTTTATTTTCGCCTATAGGCTATGACAAAAAAAAAGCATAAAGTGTTTCTTTACATGGTGATTGATTCATTAAAAGAACCACCTTCTGAATAAGAACTGCTTCTCGGTAACCATAAACTAAAGCACTCTGACTGTTTTATTTTACATTAAAAAAACACACACACACACACACACAAAAAAAACTAAACAGAAGAGTCAATCTTACCAGGATCTCCTCTCTCTCCCTTCACCCCATCTCTTCCATCACGGCCAGGAAATCCAGGAATACCTGGCAAACCAGGCATCGCTCCAGCAGGACAAGTGTCCGTATAGACCAGATGGAGGCAGAGAGAACACGCTAAAAGTGTTCCAAAAATGATGTGACCACCAAACATGTTTACTGTGGCGCCTTGAACCTTGAACGTCTTGAAAGGCTGATCTCTATAATCTTATAGCATATATATACAAGAAGAAGCCAATGAAATGACAATCGCAGTTCCTCTTTTGCACTGCACGTGCACCCATCCAAGGACCTCTCACAAAACTGTAGCCTATTCAAACAAAACCTTATTTATATATTTTTTATATTCCCAACACAGCTGCAAATCAGACAACTTTTATTTTCATTAGATACACGTTTCATTGTTAATAGATTTCATAATTTAGAATCAAAATATAGTGAAAAGTAATAATTTTCTATAGTCATGTTCTTTTGCTTTTATTTAGAATTTGTTCATGTGAGACATTTATCAAAGACAACAAAGCATTTTTAAAACAAAACACATGAATACAAGATTCTAATACAGCATACAACAAAGCAGATAAGATGATTTAATTTGTGTTTTTAAGTTGCTTACATCACTTCAGTAATACTACACTACGATCAGTCAATATCATTTGCAATGAGTTGCTAATAAGTCTACTCTGTGCTGTGATAGAGTAAAAATCCATTGAACACTACAGACATGCTTTTGGGCATTTTGCCACCAGGAGCATCTGTGAAAGGCTCAATCCATACTTTATTATTTGCAGATAGTTTGAGAACGGCTCCACCTGACACAACAAGAGATTGTGATCGTGGGCTTAAGTCGCAGAAATTCAGGCTGACTGGAGATGCACTTTCACTCTTAAGTCTGAGACATAAGCGTCCTCCAGACGATGCGTGAAACACAAAGTAATACACCCCTGGGTCCTTGCAAATGAAATAGCCAGTTTTAAGGTTGAAATGATTACCGACATTGCTAAGTTGACTATCAAAGGTCACAGGTTGACTATATAAAGCATTCTCTGTTGAATTTCGCAGAACAGAGAAAGCTGACTTCTGACGGACGATGATGGCATCACTGCCTCCGCTGGATCCTTTAGGACCCCCAGGACCAGGGAAACCCTTTGGGCCCTGTTCACCAAGGAGACCCTTTGGACCAGGTTCTCCTGGGGGCCCTCTGATGCCCATCTCTCCTTTGAGCTCCACTGTGGTGACACTGTTCAGCTCATCCTGCAATGCTGAGAGAACATTCATAAACTATCATTTCATTTCCTTCATACATAAACAAGTGTAAAGAATGCTATTTTTATGGTCGTTTTCAACTACCCATGAACATGCATGCATATAGCCTACATTACTTTCTTACCTGGTGCTCCTTTCTCTCCCTTTGCTCCTGGCAAGCCGTCCCGGCCGAGGACTCCATTCGCACCATCTCTCCCATGTATCGCACAGTTAGTCTGACAGAAAGCAGAGGGAACCAGCACTCCCATCCAAAGAAAAGCAAACAAAGCCAAAAGCTGCATCCTTAAACACCTAGGATTAATAACAAATGAGGATAACAACTTCACAGGCATTTTGAGGTAATGTACTATAAAAGAAACAACTAAAAGCCAATGTAAAATAATATAATTAGATTATAAAGTTCTTAGTAGTTAGACAGGTCTACCTTACCAGTGTCTCGCTGTAAATTTTACACTTCTTTTCCTGATTGTAGGCAGTAAAATGAAAAAAAAGGTTGAAGCTGAGAAAAAAAAGTAATGGTTTCATTTCTCCAAAATTGTAATTATTAAAAAAAACTCTTGAATTTGTCAACACATGCATTTGTTTCTTCCCCATTCTCCATCAGTCTGTTTCCTATTCTCAAAACAAAAAGGTCAAGCATTTATTGTCATAATAAATTATGTAAAGAAAGTCATAAAAATTTTTTTTTAAAACAAACAACCTTTGCAAAACAACCTGCATGACCCATTTAATTAATATTTTAAATACTTTTTTTTAAGACAATGATCACCCCTTCACTGAAAAAAACATTAACAAAATAAGCAAAACCAAAATAAATAAATATCTAAAATATAAAACATATAGGCTATTATTTTTAGCTTCCTGAAATTGTAACCCGACTTCGATCTACACCTGTCAACAATTATCAAATTACCAAACAATAAACAATTTAATCTTGATTTAAACCCAAAGTTTTCCTTACCATAAATTCACTATGAGGATATATATATAAAAAAGACATTCTTTCTTTTGGGGAACAAAAAAGAGGATATTTTGAGAAATGTTTCAGTGTTTTTTTGACCAACATTGGAGGCATGGTAACCAAAACAGTTTGTTCTTCAAAATGTCTTCTTTATTGTTCAGCAGAAGAAAGAAAGGCATGCAGGTTTGGAAGAAATGAAGGCAGAATTTTGGGGTTTTGGTGAAAGGACAGAATACAGTATATACTTTACACAAGTAAGCCAGAATAACAGTACAAAAGCATTCCATAACAAAGCTGAAAGATTGGGGTTATTTTTTATTCATTATTGCACATATGCCTAAATAAAATTACAAACAGAATAGCACAAAGTGCACAGGAATTCAGCATAGATGCATGACTTCATATATAAGTCACAGAAAACAACATTTAATTAATTGTCTGTTATAATAAAGATTCTACTTGTTTTTGATCAACATGGAGACTAGACTCTGATTCCTGTTTGCTTCCTTCTCATGGCACTCATGAACACCAGTTAAAGGAACAGGTGCTGTCTTACTCTCCCTCTGGTAGTATGGACAAACCTTTAGATGTTCAGAAATTGGAGGCAGTTTGTCAAAGCACCAGCAGTCCACAGTGGAGAACAGGTTGCTAAACTGCCAAACCTGATGACGTTTTGAAAGTCAATTAGTTTAATATTAAGTCGGATACTTGTTTAAAATGTTCATGCACATACACAAACTAAGTGAACAGCTGCATCATTCTGAGTTGTTTTGACATTTGACACATTTTAAGAGTTATGCACTAAATATAATGATATCAATATTGATTTATTTGTACTTCAAAATGTTGTTGTCAAGATATAATCACTTGGTGGCTGTCATAAAAAGTAAGCATTTTTGATCAAATTTCCCTTAAAGGCTCTAAAATTCTAACATCCGGAGGAATATTTTATATAGTTTATTCAAAAATGCATACAAACACATCTATGGAAACCAATAACAGGTTAAAATATATGTATAATGCATTTGTAATATACTAGCACATACCGGTATATTTAACAATATATTATTTACAATTTCAGCAATATGCTCTTTTCTAAATATTGAGTTATGGATGGACACAGACGGACATTCCTGAGGTAAAAGTCACCTGACATGTTCACAATCTGTTTTAATGTTGTCTTACCAAACACTGAAACACTGGCATGACTGTGAAAGATGTTACATTTCAATAAATTGCACTGTATCTTTTACCATTGCATACCTTCTCGTGTCTATTCATGGTTTTTTTTGTACTACTGGTAGGGGAAGCAATGATCAGTTCACTGTGATGATCAGTTTTTTTAAAACATTTTTTGAATTTCATAATACAAGTAACACTATTTAAAAAATGAGACCCGAGATAAAGATGTGATTTTTTAATTGCGCTATTCCACAAACGGTTCATTGCCACTTACGCCGGAATTTATTGCTGTAGAAACTCACCCTCTTTTTGGTTCTCCAGCACCATCCACCATGAGAGTAGACCTTCTTCTCCCACTTCAATGAGACCATCCCTCTCTCATGAAGCAAGGTGCTGCATACCTCCCTCATGAAACGGGAGACCAGAGCCAGCTGGGACAGGGTAAAGCTGTCGAGAAATCCAGCAACGTGGACCAGGACCTCAAAAGGTAGCCTGCTCAGAGAATCTGTATTGCGTGCACGCTTTCTTTCCACTGTCACTGTTTTTACACCTTCATACAGTGTGTCTGAAACCTCTGGTCGGAGACAGAAGGTGCTAAGCTCTTTGTCATAGAAGACCGTCGCTCTGTGAGAGCTTGGCTGAAACCGTCTCTGAATAAAAGTGCAGCCGAGGTAGGCCAGAGGGCATCGCTGTTCAAACCATCCACTGACGCAACTCTGGATGTCAGAGTGAACATTCTTGTAGTGTGAAGGAAACTCATCCCGTCTGAACGTGTGGTTGCACAGGTACGTAAACGCAGAGCTGGATTTGTTGTGTCTTCTGGTGATGCTTTCAGCCTGAATTTGGACATGAAGTTTCAAAGCCCGGTCAGCAGTGAGGTCATGCAGCGAGGTCTCTGCTTTGAAAGGTGCCGAGTAGAAATCATATGTCTGAGTTCCAACGTCCACAAGAAGGGCGTCTGTGGACCCTGATTCAGCTATGAGATGCCCCCGTAGTTCCCTCTCTAAAGAACACAATAGAGTAGCTTGAACTTCATCCCATTTTGGCATGTCATCGATTTCAACACCTAGGTCAGATGTGTCAACGCTCGTGTTCACCTTCTTGTTATGCGTGGGGTTTCGAATGCGATTGTTTTTGGCTCTGAAGCTGGTTGGGACTTTAAAAGTGCGGACTGTTTTAATCTTCATGGGCTCCAAATGTTCGTAAATGAGTTTCTTTTTGGGTCTTGTGTCACATGCAAACAGGGATGTGGCGATGAGGAAATTATGCTCATCCATTTCACATGCGTTGTACTGAGGGATGTCAGTAGCTGCATCTTGACTGTCGATCTGCATTTCCCGCTCTTCCCGTAAGACTTCTAACCTGCTTGGGTTTGCTTGTGGCTTTATTTCACTACCGTGAGAGGTTTCAGGATTTTTCCCCAAAGATTTTATCGTTTGCTTGCAGCCGCTCATTTCCATACTGAACATTCTTTCCCAAATATTATAGCTTTCGAGATTGAACACATTAGGATTCCTCGCCAGTTCTTCTCGTTCCTCCTGAGTCAGATCTCCTTCTTCAATTTCCGTGCTTGAAGACACAAAATCTTCCTCGACTCTATTCAAGAATGGTACCCCTCCCACGGCCCCCTCTGGCACTGCAAATGAAGGCTCCTCAGCCAACTTTTCAATAAGTTCAGGGAAGATGATCTTCATTTTGAGAGAATGAAAGAGGTGCTGCTGGTCCCTCAGAGCCATCGAGAGATCCAGAGGTTCCTGAGCGCAGTTCTCCTTCAAAACATTCTCATAGAACTCAGGGGTCTCAGACTCTTCGATGGGCCATCGGTTCCACTCCATGGAGCAGGAGACAACACTAGCAGGACACACCGTCAAGTGCTTAGCTAGGTTTGAGCGGCACATGATGAATGGGCAGCCATATTCAATGTTGAGACAAGGCACCCTCTCATTGGGGCACAAAAGCATGTGTTCTTCCTCCTTGCACAGGTGAAACACAGCACCGCACAGAAAACGACAGCTGATGATTGCACATGACACAGAAATCTCAATTGCCGTCTTGCAGCAGCGGCTGTGGCAGCTCTCACAGTGGCGATGAAGCTTGGATGTTTGGGTCTTTTGTCTAACCTGTGAAGAAATGCAAGATACTGATGTTTTTATAATGTTTTAGACTAGATATAATGTTTGGAAAGTGTTTTACCATAACTGTAAGTGAATGTAAAGTATTTGCAAATCTCAGATCCTGAAGAACATCATTAAGGTCTTGGAATACGTATACGGCAGTTGCAACATAATGTAGCTACTAGCTACACATTGTAAATGTATTAATTGTTTGCATATTCCACCACTGTGTGGTGAAAACTTTATTTCAGAAATAGCCCATCATTAACTCAAGCTAATGCTAAAAACCTAAATGCTTCTTGCAGAAACAATAGACAATATTTAGATTGCTATACTTACATCTTGCATTTGGTAGACACTAAAAAGGCAAACAAAAGTTGACCTACCATAGTGTTTTACTGTGAGCTCCACAGTGGTGTTCAGCTTACTCACTTATAGTTTGAGTGAGCCTATATCTGTGTCTGCCCATTAGTTAAAAATAGACACTTATGCTTGGCAGTGTGACTTGTTCTGTGGCATACAAGATCAAGTTACATGTTCTGCAAACGTAGCCGCTCTAAGGTACCCGGTGTTTAGGCATCCAAGCTCAGCGCCAGTTCACACAGAACGTATATGTAACGAGGTTCAGTTGTTATGGGAAGAAGGAGGCGGGAACCGGCAAACGTTCAACAACTTTAATGACATAAAATAAAGCAATAACAAAATGAAAGTATAAGCCAGCAGCCCTTCACGGACGACTGCTGGCCTCACAAAACAGAAACAAAACACAACATAAATTCAGGCCTGTTCCTCTCCCGATCTCCACTGTCGTCTCTCCTCCTTTATGCTTCCGCTCCTCCGTGAGAGATACGAGACCGGTGCGTCTCACAGGTGTCGCTCATCAGTAATCACGCCACCGGCCTCGCGCCGCTCTCTCACGGCCCTCGGCCTCGTCCTGCTCGCCACAGTATAATCCACTGCAACTCGATATCTGCACTCTCACGAATGCTTTCATCATAACTAACAGTGCAAACACAATGTAAATAAGAGATGTGTTGATTATAATGGGAGTTTTAGTGAGATTCCAGAACTCACATCACGGATAAGCTCACACAGTGACTACGTTTACATGCACCCAATTTTCGGGTTATGGTCGGGTTAAGGTCACTATTCCGGTTTCTGAAACATTAGGAATAACCCGTTTACATGCGTGAGCAGAGAGAGTTTCTCCTGTATACATGGAATTGCAATATCCCGATGTAAACGCCGACGCACGGTTAGCGTCAAGACGTACGGACAACCTTAAGACGCACTATGCGTCATTTCCGATTCTTCTTCCTGTATCCAAAGACAACAACAATAGCAGCAGCACGCGGATAATGAATAGTTCGGGGCAGATAGCGATCGCCTTTGTTTGCGCTTTGGTGCTGGTACTGACCTCGCTCCATAAGTATGCTGTGCTGCGTCTCGCCATGTTTACTTCCGGTATACTGCACGCGGGTTTTTGTATGCGCCGAGAAGTGCCTCTACTCAAAAGACCAAGATTCCTTGCGAATAGAACATGCGCAGAACACAAATCACTATGGGGATATGCCGATGCGCGTTTACATGACCAAAAATTCGGGTTAGAAAAGGGGTACCCCAGGTGTCATATCCGGGATATGAGCATATTCGTGTTTTTGCAGGTGTTTACATGGCCGTGCGCGACCGGGTTATTGCTAATATCCCGGTTTTGAACGGATTATTGGCTGCATGTAAACGTAGTCTGTGATTGACAGCTCCAGCGATTGTAAAGGGACAATCTTTCTTGCTCATTTTCTATATATAATTTAATCACAGTTTAAATAACAGATTATTTTCATCCTGCTAAGAGAAACAATGTGGTTGACTGTTTAGTCACTGGATTGATTTACTGTTACATAAACAGCAATAAACGATTTTGAGACAAAGAACATCTATATGAATCATTAATCACTGGTCATAGATCAGGCATTTGAATTAACACGGTTACTTACATCTTGTGGCATTACTGTCGAGTCCATATCGTAAAAGTCAGTTTGCAAAGCCTGTGCCGAAATTGCGACTGATTTACCAAAGGATCCACAGTAAAATGTACCTAATACAAATAAATAATGCTCAACTGAGACATTCACATTGTTGAAAATAAATAAACCACATTCCTAAAATTAGGTTCCTTTGGAAGGTAATGTTATTTTTAGTCAAGTGATCCTGTATTGCTCTCCTCTCCTCGTCATCTCACTAACACGCCAGTGGGCGGGGCCAAAGTTGCAATGATGAAGTTGTTGATCTTCTTCTGCAGAGGCGGTCTTTCAAATATCTCTGACGTCATAAATCGGCACATTCAAAAACGAGTCATTTTCAGACCTGGTTTCAATAAAATCTGTTTTTGGACTAACAAGGAAGTTTTCAGTTCTGAAAATTACAGGATATTCTTTATAGTATGATGACCTCTTATATATGTCAAAAGCTCAAGGAAAATTTTATTTCTCAATGCATGACCCCTTTGAAGTTTCTTCAGCTTTTCTGCTTCTGGCCTTTGAATGCAAGAAATGAATGCACAGATCATGTTTTTAAACAGTTTCAGTTTTAGGTTATTTATTAGATAGGCATTTGTTTGTAAGATCTATTTGTACAAAGGTGCTTTTCTAATCATACAATTATTGTGCATATGTTGTGCGCAAAAAGAGATACTCTATGGGTTTAGTGTCCCCATCATGTTTAGAACTAAAAATATTAAACGTAAACATGACAAGAGATATGGAAATCTATGACAATTAAGTCATACGGCAATAATCACATGCTGCTTTACTATCAGTGATTTGATGTTTTATTGTCTAATTTAAGTTTTACAGAGAGAATAAAAGGCTACATTCAGTAAGATATCAAACACATAAAAAGTACATTTGAGACCTGAAATTCTGGGATCCAAAATTTGATTTAAACCTAGAAATAAAATGATTAATAAATAACCAAAAAGTAATACGATTCTCCATTATTTTGTAGGCTACTAATCAAATAAGCAAATCATGTTTACACAAACTTATGGAGTTCATGCAGCTTGAGTTCTGCTGTCATTAAAGCAAAAATGTCCTAAAATCCTAAAATTAATGTTCATTTAAAATTAAAATTAATGTTTACACTCATGATATAATTTGTAAAGAAAAATAAATAAATGAGAAAAATGATAAATAATAATGTTCACTAATGGACATTCAAACCGCACTGTAAGCATCTAAAAAAAAATTCTAAATAAAAGTTACAGTATCATTTGCGTGCCATAAACAAAGAAACCAAACCGTGTCTACCCTTTCTTTTGTTGTCAAACTTGGCCAGGGCAAAGGGCTCAGTTTTCAGTTCAGCTTGGTAGAATGGACAGTGTTTCAGGTGCTCAGCCATTGATGGAGTGTTGCTGATGCACCAGTTATCCACTTTGCTAAAAAGAGTACTGAACTCCCAGACCTAAGAAAGAAAGATAAAGAAATACAAAGGAGAAATTATAGTTAAAATCAATAAGAGATCTTTATCTTGAACTTGAAACTGATTAAAACCTGTCAAAAGAAAATGTCAAAGTCATGCAATATTTTCGATTGGCCTAAATGTTATTCCGTTTCTGATTTCAATACCAATTTTATCAGTCCTACCTTCATTTTATGCAGATTTTGAATTGTTAGAATCCCTTCAGATTTTTTTTTTTTTTTTAGAAAAAACTGTAGGTCTTTTAAACAAATGGCTTATTATCGAAAGTTTAATGTTTTGAAATGTTTTGAAAATAAACATTTTAAAAATATTTATGAAAAAAGCCTTACTATGTTAGGTTTCCAGCGGGCTCCTCCATGAGAGTATGACTTCTTACGCCACTTTAAGGCCACCATTCCTCTCTCCTGCAGAAGCGTGGCACATATATCCCTGAACAATCGTGAGACCAAGGCTAGCTGGGACAAGGTGAAACTATCCAGGTAACCAGCGATGTGGTGAAGCACCTCATAGGGAAGGCTACTGAGATCTTCATATCTGGCACGTGCCTTTAGTGTAACACTCTGCAAATCGTTCATAAGAGAGGCAGGAATCTCAGGTGTGAGGGTGAAAACACTGAGGTCTTGGTTATAAGAGACTTTGGCCCTGTGTGTGTTGGGCTGTAATCTTCTCTGACTGAAGGTGCAACCAAGGTAGGCCAGAGGGCATCTCTGCTCAAACCAGCCACTCAGACAGGATTGTATATCCGAATGTACGTTCTTAAAGTGTGAGGCAAACTCATCCCGCCGGAAGAAATGGCCACACAGGAACGTGAAAGCCGAGGTGGATTTGTTGTGTCTGAGGGTAACTGTTTCTGTATCAAGTTCAACGTGAAGTTTCAAATCTCTGTCTTCTGTAATTTCAGCCAGAGTTGCATTGTATTTGAAGGGAGCTGTGGCAAAATTATATGTCTGTGTCGCAATATCAACATAAAGTCCATCTGTCGACACAGTTTCGCTAATTTTGTGGCCCCGTATCTCAGCCTCTGCAGAACAGAGTAGGGTTGCAAACATCTCATCCATCTCCTCGCCATTGTTTTTAGATACATCAAGGTCAGACGTGCCGACACATTTGTGCTCAGTCAATGCTTTTGAAAAGCATTCTTTTTGCTGAATGCGTTTTTGTTTGTAACTACTGGGAACCTTGAAGGAACGTAGAGTTTGGACTGGTATTGGCTCCAGGCTGCCATACACAAAATCTCTCTCTCTGGGCGTGCACGCATCCATCTGACCGAAGGAGATCAGCATGCGCCCGTGATGCACTATATACATGTTGAATTCTCTGGGTTTCACCTCCTGCCCGAGTCTCTCCAGGACGCCATCCTGCCAAGGTGCAAATCCAGTTTTGGAGATATCCATATGGGATACATCGGCTTTCTCTTTCTCAGGCTCTACAGAAGCTCCTTGTGGCTTTGTCGTATTTTTTCCTTTCTTATCTGCTGTTTTCAACGCCTCTGCCTCCCTGCAACCTCCCATTTCCATGCTAAACATCTTTTCGAACCGATTGTACTTTTCCTTGTCAATGGTGCCATTTAGGACCACATCTTCATTTAGAGATTTCTCACAAGGTTTTGATGGTTCATTTACTAAAACTGAACCTCCATGTCCGTTGACATGAATCCCATTACACACAGACTCTCTTCCTGCTTTCTCATCGTCGTCCTCTTCCATTGGAGCAGGTTCCTCTTCTTGTTCCTCCATCAACTCAGGAAAGTAGCTCCTCATTTTCAACCTGGCACATAGATGTTTCTGGTCTCTCAGTGCCATGGAAAGGTCCAGTGATTCCTGCTCGTGGAGCTCTTTAAGAAGGCTTGTACACAAGGGGGCATCTGGGTTCTCGACAGGCCAGCGGTTCCACTCCATCGAGCAGCAGACGACGCTCGCAGGACACACCTCAAGGTGTTTAGCCAGCTGAGAGCGATGCATGGTGAAAGGGCAGCCATAGTGA